TTCTCAGGGAGATGGTAGAGTGGAGAGGGAACCAGGTAATCCAGGGTTTGGTCTGGTTCTCCTAAACAAGCTGTGAACCCTAGAATGAGTTTCTTCCCATCACTCCTGTTCCTTCCCTGTCTCTAGGATGAGGTGCTAGATAGAAGCTCTCTCTGCTGCTATGATTTCATGTCTTCTCCACCTCTGTTTGTAGACTTAGCTTTTCCTCCCTGCTGGGCCAAAGTGTTCAAAAGACTTCTAACACCTGGGATCTGGTATTTCTTCCTCCTTTTCCTGCTCTTTCTCAGGGAAATCCTGTGTGTTACAGAGACTTTTTAAAATCATTATGGCCTGAATTGAGCAGCTGACACCCTTGTCTGCCTAGCTCCTCAAGGTACTCAGGGAAAGGTAAAACTCTCTCATACTATATATTTGTAAATGCCATTGTGCTTTAAATATGTAGATTGTATGGGGAAAGGACTAGAATTCAAATTCTGCGTGACCATCTTTACAAGGTTTGGGGCCTTGGAAAGTGGGAAGAAGAGAGTAACCTATACTGGGAAAAGCCTGATCACAGATTAAATGTAGGGCCATCAATCTTCCTTGCTTTGGGAGTGATTGATGAACCAGAGGCACTGCTCAGAGTCAACAGAGGATTCAGCAGCTGGGACAGACAGGAGCCAACTTTTGACAAGGGAAGAGCAGCAGGTCTTGCATCCTAAGTAGGGGCTCCTGTGTAAGGATGAAAAATCCTGGGGGATGTAATTATGTTCAGAAGCCACCCACTTTCCCCCTCTCTTTATGTAGGAGTTTGTGAGTCCTGTTTCACCAGTTAACCCAACCCTGGTAGTGGAGAAACTAAGCTTCTTCTGAGGAGAGATTAACACAAGTCACAGAGGGAACTTCAGATAAACAAACAGGGGAAAGCACACCAGGGATCAAGGGAGAGTTCCAGAGTCTGGAGCCAGAGCAAGCCTGGGTGGGGTGAAGGAAGCACAGGTTGAGGCAGGCAGGAGAGTCCAGCCAGGGCCTGCTACCATGAGAAATTCCTTTGCGCCCTTGGATAAAGTCCAGGGAGGGCATGAGAGTGTCCCAGCTTTAGAGCTGGAATCAGGTCATCCGGGGCCTGAGATAAACTGGGTGGCCCCAGAGGACAGAGGAGCAGGAAGAGATTACTCCAGAGATGAGAATCCTCCCAGACACAGAAGCAGGTGCTGCCTGGTGCCCCCTCTGCCAGGGGCTGCTGAAAGAGGATTTGGTAAAGAGGAGACCTGGGCCCAAGCCTAGAGGAAAGCTAAGTGTGTCAAGAGGCTTGGAGCTCGGGTGCAGTGGTGGTGCTGGCAACAGTCCGGAGGTAAAGAGGTGGGGCATTAAATTGGCTGCCAATGAAATGAATAGGAAGGGAAGGCAGGGAAGGTAGCAGAAGTGTTCTCTACCCTTTGCTAAGTCCTCATGCCCCTCCCAGCCAAACCCAAAAGGCCCATCACAAAGAAATGTTTCTCTCTCAGCAGTTCTCAAAGCAATCTCTGAATCTCTCTTCACAAATAATGCCATTTACTCATTCATTTATGTATTTAATCGATCAGCCTATAATCACCAGGCACTGAGCAGCTACTGTACAGCAGGCACCGTGTGAGGATGGAGAGGAGTAGGGACCAATGGCTATTGGAACAGAGAGGGAGGCTAACTTTGAACTCAAGTTCACTGGCAGTGGTGTCCCAGCTGTGGAGCCAGCAGGTGCTCCACAAACGTTTTGGTGTGTGTTTGTAGAGGGGAGGGATGAGATAAAGAGGAGGAACCATCCACACACCTGAGTTTTAAGGGTGATTTGGATTTTCCAAAGGCTACACCTAGTAATAGGTTGTGTTGTGAGTGCAGCTCTGAATCAGTGACCTAGTTTTATGTTCTATGTTATGTTGGTCAGAGGAAAATGTAAGGACTCAGGAACCCCAGAAAACAAGTCCCACAGCAGGAGAATCTTTGGAATCTGACCATCATGGACAGAGAGTATACCTGGGCAGGTGCTTGGAGTCTGATTATCTATTGCCATCCCCAATGTCTTCACTGGCTGTGGTACCCAGGCCCTGTCACAATGCCATCTGAGACTCTACCCCAAGAGTGAAAGCAACTCAATCTCAAAAGAGGCATTTTAGCATCTTGGACTTTCCCTTCCTGTCTCAGACCCTGATCCGCTGAGTGATAAGAAGTGAAAACTTATTTCCCTTTGTGCTAATTCATGTCCTATTTTTAGCAGGGCTAAAACCACCCACTGTTTAGAGCCATTTCAAATATTAAGCAGATGTATTCCCACTTAAGAGGAATCATCTTAGCAGCAATTAAGGACTCACCCACAAGGCAAAGCTCTTTCTGTGTCCTCATGTTGCCACTCATGCAAAGCTTTCCCAGAACTGAGACTGGACCCGGCTCTGACCCAGGAAGCTAAGCTCCCCTTTTCATCTTTTTTAAAAATTATTTTTGAAAATGACTCATCCCTAGACACTTAATAGACACTTAACAAAAGTATTCCTTATGCATACTTTATTAATGTTCTTTCTATTCAAGAAATGTAAGGGGTGCAACATGATGTTCCCTTTTTACTTTTAACCAATTTCCGGCCTGGGCTTAATTGCCTCCATAGACATTAGGGGGTAGTAAAGAATTGAAACAAAGGAGACCAGTGGATTTTTGTGCAGAATTATTTTCTTCCTGGGGTTTGTTGTTTGACCTTGGGTGAGTTATTCCACCTCCTGCAGCCTTAGTTTCCCCAGGCATCTCTTGAGGAGTATGAACTAAATTAAAGGCTGAGTGGCTCCATAATCTCAGTGGCTCTGGACTGTGCTGTGTCTCTCACTCCGGGGAGTTCCCTGTCTGTCAAGGGAAAGTGGGCGTCCTCCTCAGAGAACTCCTAGAATGGCAGACATGACTGACATATGTTAGGCACTGTGTTAAGATTTGGTGAATGAAACAAATACTACCATGGGAACATCACTGATTTGAGCAGGTACAGCATTGACCCTTGGAATGTCCCCAGGAGATACAGAGTCAGAGACAGAAGGAAACCCACACAATCTGCAGGATGTCTGGGCGCCAGGATCTGAGTTGGAAGGGGCAAGAAGTGGTGAGAATTCAGCACTAAGACTCTATAGACTGCCTGGGGGGAAGTAGGTAGAGAGGGTTTCTGGGTTTTCAGGTAGGGGCAGTCTAGTGGGGCTGGGGAGGAACAAAGGGCCAGGGCTGGGTGGAGTGGAGGGAAAAGGTGATCCCATAAGAGGGATTAGCTCTTGAAAGTCCCTGAAGTAGGAGAGGGATAAAGGTGTGGTTGGTGAAAGCAAAGCAGGTTTTCCCAGATTAGCAACCAGTCAGGGAGGGATGGGCTGGGGGGCGGTTATAAGTGAATAATTACGAATGTGCGTAGTTCAATGGAGTTGGGAGAAAGATGGGGGAGATAGATGGAAGGGCCTTAGACCGTGAGATGAGGAGTCCATCATCAGTCAATTCCATTATCTCTGGCATCCACCTTCAATAAGGCAGGCAAGGGGTGCCTACCTCAGCTCTTCTGCTCCCCTTCCCTTCATATACACAAGAGTATACTATCCCACAGAACATGGGGAACATCATCTCAATGACAAAGAGAGAAGGTGGTAAAGCCTCAAGGAGACTCAGATCTCCTCTGAGTGAACTGCATAAGACCTGCCAGGAAGCCTACTGCTCCCCCCTCCCCCAAAACAAGCCCTCTGCACCTGGGTCTGAGGGGGAGGGAGGCAGCGAGAATTAGACCAGGTGACATCACTGTTGGCCTGCCAGTGCCAAAAAATGTCAGGTGGGTGGTTTTCACCACAAAAGCTGAGCCAAGGGTGATGAGGGGGGTAGTGTGAATCATGTGTGACAGGTAAGGAATGAAAACAGAGCACCCAGGAGATTCTATTTATTTCCTTGAGGCAGGGCTCATTCATCTTATAAAAGCCAGCAGGCCTTTGCCTTCACACCAGACCCGAACAACCAGACACCCCATTCTGCTCTGTGTACCAGGTGAGTCTCTGATTGCAACCAACTCAGAATGCTTATTTATTTTTCATTATTGGAAATGGGATAAAGGCAAACAGGTGTAAGAGGGGTGATGACCGATATTGATTAGACTTAAAAGAGGAGAATATCTTTAAGTTAAAGCACAGTTTGGGTTTTCAGGGACCAGAGACAATTAGGTCTGCCACCTTGAACTAGCGAGGAGAAGGGGAGAGGGCTGTTCAAGCACCTACAGGAAGTTGGTAGCAGGACTAGGGATGAGGTTTGGGCCCAGAGCATTCTCAGTAACACCACAATTTCCTCTGATATGGCTATAGACATTTTAATTCATTAAATGGATCTCTACTGAGCATTTGTTATATTTAAGGCAGTATGCTAGGCAATTTAGATAAACTAGACCTATATGAAACTTACTCAACAAACTTACAACCCAATGGGGAAGGTAATACACGTTCATAAATAGATGAAATGCAAGATAGTTGGTGATTGGCATGAGGGGAGAGGGGCAGGGAAGGGCCATGCAGTTTAGGGGAACAGTCCTCAAGAAAAGCCTTCTAGTGGTGGCATGTGATGTGAACTATGATGGAACAAGTAGAGATGGGAAGGAAAGACCAGAAGCAAACCCATGGGGGCTTAGTTGAATGTAAAGTCATCTATGAATCACAAGGCATTCTACATGATCCTGGGAATGAATGGACTAGCCATTTTCATGATGCTGCTTTCCAAAAGACCAATATGTGAGCCTCACTTCCATCTCAGAAGCCGGCTCTCATAAGGTTGTTTCTCAATTTGAAATATAATAGGGTAAAAAGGGAGCCAAGAGAAGAACCCCACTGAAATGGGGCAGAACAAATCACCTTTAAGCTCTTCCTCTTGAAAGGGCCCAGAAATTATCAAAGCAAGGGGAGAAGAAAGACTCTTTCTTCCAAAGGGGCATAAAATGAAATCTATCTGGCATTGAACTTGTCTTCTTTGTTTAATTGAATCACTGAGTCAGTTTTCTTTCTCTAGAAAAATCCACTGTTGAAGCATGAGTTCCCAGCAGCAGAAGCAGCCCTGCACTCCACCTCCTCAGCTTCAACAGCAGCAGGTGAAGCAACCTTGCCAGCCTCCACCCCAGGAGCCATGCATCCCCAAAACTAAGGAGCCTTGCCACCCCAAGGTGCCTGAGCCCTGCCATCCCAAGATGCCTGAGCCTTGCCACCCCAAGGTGCCTGAGCCCTGCCACCCCAAGGTGCCTGAGCCCTGCCATCCCAAGGTGCCTGAGCCTTGCCACCCCAAGGTGCCTGAGCCCTGCCCAGCACCAGCCCAGCAGAAGACCAAGCAGAAGTAAATGAGGTCCACAGCCATGCCCTTGAGGAGCTGCACCAGATGCTGAACTCCCTATTCTTTTCTACCTATGAGTCCCATTTGCATGTTGACCTTGCAATCAGCATGTAGTCAGCCTGAGTCATAATCCTCTTTCTTTGCAACTTGAAAAAGATGTCCCTTCTCCTCACTCTGGAGAGTCACTGAGACTTTGGAGAAGGCTGAAAATCTCACTGGTTGAGCTAGTCTTCCAGTTGCTCAGGGTTTATTTGAAGATAAATTTGGGAAGGGATTGAGTGAATCTTCCCTACTCTTCCTTCAATAAATAACTTTAAACTTCACACCTGGTTGTGTGTGTCGCTGGATGATTAAACCTCTCTTGCTCTCTCAGCGTGAAGCAGGAACTAACAGTGAGGGCTGGTTGTGAGGTCTATAGTCAGAAAAAAGCTGAGTGTGTGTGTGTGTGTGTGTGTGTGTGTGTGTGTATGTGTCTGCTGGGCACAAAAGACACATTTGGGTGGGTAATGGAAGAATGTTCAAGGCCACCCAGAGTTTGTTATTTCAGGCAGCCACAGCCAGAGCAGGGTTTTCTTTTTCGTTTTCCACCTGAGTGAGTCACACCTGAGTGTAGATGGTGCCTGTTCCCATCCATCTCTGACTCTAAGTCCCTGTCCCTAAACCGTCCTTGGCCCCAAATCATCTTTATTCTGTTTAGCTTATTCCTTTTTTAAAAAGTATTCTAAAGAGATGGTGCTTGTACATATTCCGACCTGATTATCTGTTTTGCGCTCATCTTCCCTTTCTGACACTCCCAACACATGAAGCCAAACATTTGAACACTCACACTCACATATTCACCCACACTCTCACACAGAGGGCTCGTCTCCCATACACAGACCTTCACCCCTCCACACATTTTGATCTCCCAAATCACAACACTCACACATACACACCCCTTCACATACTTACATCTTCCAAATCACAACACATACACACACACACACACACACACACTGATTAATCACCTTAGTCTATCTTTTCCTTTCATTTAGGACCGACAGTGAAGGCACATGGTGTTACAGCAGGAAAAAAGAGTGGAATCTATAGCACTAGCCCTCGGAGAACCACAACAGAGATGATATTCATCCTCCTTTCCATACATACGTTTTCAAAAAAGTGGGCAAAAGACATGAATAGACACTTCGCAAAAGAAAACATATGGGCAGCCAACAGACACATGAAAAAGTGCTCAGCCTCACTAATCATCAGAGAAATGCAAATCAAAACCATGTTAAGATACCACCTAATCCCAGTAAGAATGGCCATAATTAATAAAATAAAAACATGCAGGCGAGGATGCAGAGAAGAGGGAAAGCTTCTACACTGCTGGTGGAAGTGCAAACTAGTTCAATCTCTATGAAAAACAGTGTGTCAATTCCTAAAAGAACTAGAATTTGACCTCCCATACAACCCAGCAATCCCCTTACTAAGAATATACCCAGAGGAACTCAAATCATTCTACAAAAAAGATACCTGCACACACATGTCTATTGCAGCACTATTTACAATAGCAAAAACATGGAACCAACTATGCTGCCCATTGAAATCAGACTGGATAAAAAAAATGTGGTACATATACACGATGGACTATTACACTGCCATAAAGAAAGACAAACTAGCAGGGAGTAGTGACTCACACCTGTAATCCCAGCACTTTGGGAGGCTGAAACAAGTGGATTGCCTGACCCCATGGGTTTGAGACCAGCCTGGCCAACATGGTGAGACCTCGTCTCCACAATACATAAATAAATAATTAGCTGGGCATGATGGCACACACCTGTGGTTCCAACTACTCGGAAGGCTGAGGCAGAAGGATCGCCTGAGCCCAACAATTAGAGGCTGCAGTAGCCATGAGTGTGCCACTGTACTCCAGCCTGGGCGATAGAGTGAGACTCCTACTCAGAAAAAAAAAGAAGGACAAACTTACGGACTTCACAGCAACCTGGAAGATTTGAAGACACCAACTCAGTAATCTATCACAGAAACAAAGAACTGACTACTACATGTTCTCACTCACAAGCAGACCCCGAACATTTACCATAATATTATAAGAAAGACATTAGCAATAGCTGGAAACTGTCAGGGGAGGGTGGGGGAATACATTACATCAGTAAGGGTACCTGATCTCAAACCAGGCAAAGAGAGGTCCAAACTTTACCTGTATAGTGACCACTTGGATACCTAATCCTGAATTGTACCCCACATCTTTAAAATAAATTTGAAAAGAAAAAAAAGCATATACATGCTCTTCTCTCTACACACACATAGCATATACACTCACACAAACACACACTCTCTAAGTAATACATAGAAGCAAATACAACAAACGTAAAAAACAGAAAAATTCCAGCAGTTTTCAGAAGGAAGAGAGATTAATGCAGTTAAATCAAAAAATTAACATAAAGCTGAGGGAGGACAAGTCATTGGACATAAAATGTTAGCGTAAAAAGAGACCTAAAGAGCGCTTAGGACAGCCCTTTACTTAAGGTCATTGAAATCACGTTTCAAGCTGGACTTGGTGGTTCAGCCTGTAATTCCGTGCCTTGGGAGGCTGAGGTGAGTGGATTGCCTGAGCCCGCGGGTTCAAGACCTGCCTGGGCAACTTG